CCATTTATATACTTATCCACACTAATGACCGGAGCAATCTAGCGAAGATCACAAAAAGTGACCGTTTTCGCTACCTAGGATCTATCTTGCAAGAGAACGGAGAATTAGATGGAGATCTCAATCATAGAATACAAGCTGGATGGATGAAGTGTAAGAGTGCATCCGGCGTGTTGTGTGACCGTCGTAGGCCACTGAAGCTCAAGGGAAAATTTTATAGGACGGCAATAAGGCCAGCGATGTTGTATGGCACAGAATGTTGGGCGGTGAAGCATCAACACATACACAAAATGGGTGTAGCGGAGATGAGGATGCTTCGTGGGATGTATGGGCACACGAGAAAGGATAAGATTGGGAATGAGGATATCCGAGGTAAAGTAGGAGTAGCCAAAATTGAAGGAAATATGAAAGAAAATCGGTTCCGGTGGTTTGGACATGTGCAAAGAAGGTCTACTGACGCTCCGGTTCGAAAATGTGACTACGGGACAGAGGTTCAGGGCCGAAGGGGTAGAGGAAGACCTAGGAAAACTTTGGACGAGACCCTAAGAAAAGACTTGAGTACTTGGATCTAACAGAGAACATGACACAAAACCGAGCGCAATGGCGTTCTAGGATTCATATATCCGACCCCACTTAGTGGGAAAAGACTTTGTTGTTGTTGTTGTTGTTGCCCTTACAATCAGTCTCACATGCCATGAACGTGACTGAGTTTAATGGAAACATTAACAGTTCAGTGAACGAAAAGAATCATAGCTGCACATTTTAACGAGTTAAATGACTAATAATCAAGAAAATAAAGTTGATGAACTATTGCTCCAATTGAATTAAAGTTGATGAACCATTGTTGTAATTTTTTCTATACTTTATTATTTCTTAGCCCTTGAAATATATTTCCACGATCAAGATGTTTGTGCCACGTAAGAAAGAAAGAAAAGAAATTAAGGCTTCTTCTTCCTCTCATGCACGACCTTTTCATCATCCTTCAGCCACCTCTCCACTTCAATCTAAATTTTTGTTGTTAAATTAAAAAAAAAAAACATTGAAACCAAATTTTCAGTTACTGCGAATGAATTGAAATTAAATATATTAAATTGCAAAATCAAAATCGAAGAGGATAATACGGTGGTATTTGATTTCTGATGGCAACGAAATTGAGCAAGCCCAAAACGAAAATCATGCCATGACCCTGTTGTTGAACGGCGACAGAGAAGGAGATGATGACGACGGAGGGGAAGTCCAGTGAAAATTGGTATTTGGTTATGGTGGCGAGATGGGACCAGTGAGCGGATTTTGTAGCAGGTGTAATGCCCCTGCCATGGTTTCGACATAAAAGAAGAGAAGCGTTTAAGAGCGTGGTCAACAGAGAGAGGTGGAGGAGGGGATGTAGGTGGGTTCGACATTGGTGGGATAAGGTCGGCTTCCTACCATGCCAATAAGCACTTGCATAATCCTTGAAGGGAACATGAAGCATGCCATGCGGATGTCTATGTCAAAAGCAAGCTAATAAAGCACACATGAAGGATGCCAAGTTAACTACAATAAAACAATCATGCCGAACTAGTCATTGTACCTAGACAAACCCTACTCGAAAAGCACTATCAAACAATCAAGCTAGACCTACAAAATCCGCAATTGCAGAGCATGCATGGGAACAAAAAAAAGACAACAATGTCATACAAAATTATCAAGAAAGACGGTCCTACTACAGTCTACAGAAACCATGAGCTTAATTTTCCTGGTGAATTCGTACCTCTACCTTCAAGCCTCAATACTCGCCTACACTTGACAAGCATCAAGACCCTAAAATCCTTAGTAAACATGCAAGCAGAGGGAAAATCAAAAGAAAATTCTGCTTTCAACGAAGCAACATGAACAAAATTCCAAAAAGGAGACACGCCCAAATCCCTATGGAAATCAGCAAGGAAAAGTGGAAAGAATGAAGATTTGTCTTAAGAAATGAAGAGCATTAAACTGCTATCCTTCAACCAACAAGAATACCTAGAGTTTCCTAAGGAAAGTGAATTATGCATTGGAAACTAGATGAAGCATCATCACGCAGTCGTCAGGTGGCACGTAGGAAGTGAAACAGGCCCACCAAGTAGAACGTGTTTTGCAGTTTTGGGACTCCAAGCATCATCAAAGCCCAATCGTTGTGGAAGCATCATAGGCCAAAATTAAATCCATAAATAAAGTGTGAAACTAAGAGTATGCAAATTTACGATTATGCCACACTAATACAAAATAGTTTAATGGATGCCACGTCCATGCAAATCACGCATATTTATCATGCCATTATAATAATAATACATTAAGGAATTGTTATTAGCACTCCAAAAATCTCATTTGGCACTCCAAGCTTTCCATAATTAAAAATAAAAATACACTTGTGAGGAGAGTAGAATAAGATTTTTGGAGTGCTAATAACAATTCTCATACATTAATATTACAATTCGAGTCACTCCAAGCATGTTACATGCTTATATGAGCCCAAGCCACGTAATGAGGCTTGCCGAGTGAATCATGGTGTGAATGGTTACGCAAGTTAACTGGGTATATGTGGAATTAGAATTGTGGAAGACTTTTGGCTGCCTGGGAGTACCAAAAGTCCAAGCCCATTTTTGACTTCACGTGGAAGGGTTTGAGAGAGAACATACCAAGTTTTATTAACAATCCAAATGCTTCTTGCAAAATTCATTTGACAAGTGGTTCTTCGCATAGTATTTTATGACTCATAAATATTTTAATTTTCTTTTTCTATAAAACGCAATAAGTGTTTTTGATTTTTAGAAAATACTTTTACCTATTCCAAAATCAATCCGAAACATGCCTGAATGGTTAAAGTTGACCATTTCCACACAGACATGAAGCAACACGATGCAAACAGAACCCCTTATCCCGAATCGTCAACCTTAACTAATTAGAAGAGACCTTACATGAAGAAGACTGGTAACGCATCTGATCAAACAAAAAAGAACAAACTATGTGAAGGAGAGATAAGAGATTATCCAAATATGCTCAAATTAAATGCGACAACGTCGTAGTCAAGAAAGAGAGTGAAGGAGAAGAAATCAAACAGGAAGAGGAGAGTTAGAGGTGGTTTGAGACTAAGGTGCTTAAAAAAAACACCCATGAAAAAAAGCTGTGAGGGTTTTAGGTGTTTTGTAAACTGAAAAAAAAAAAGGCTTATTTTGGAAGCTGCTGTGAGAATAAGCTGAAATCAAAGGAAAAAGCTGAAACTGCTATTTGCAGCTTTGGAAAACTGGCTTGTTTTCAAAGCACATGGAGCTATAGTGCTCTTTTAATGAAAAGACCCACTATCATACTGCTTTTTTTTTTTTTTCCAAAAGCACTTTTACAAAAAAGTTTACCAAACACTCTGCTGATTTATTTCACAGCCACTTATTCTCACAGCACAGCCATTTATTCTCACAACAGCTTTTTTTCAAAGCACAACAATACCAAACGGGCTGGTTTGGTATTGCTGTGCTTTGAAAAAAAGCTGCTGTGAGAATAAGCGGCTGTGAAATAAATCAGCAGAGTGTTTGGTAAATTTTTTTGTAAAAGTGCTTTTGGAAAAAGAAAAAAAAACAGTCTGATAGTGGGTCTTTTCATTAAAAGAGCACTGTAGCTCTGTGTGCTTTGAAAAAAAACCAGTTTTCCAAAGCTGCAAATAGCAGCTTTAGCTTTTTTCTTTAATTTCAGCTTATTCTCACAGCAGCTTCCAAAATAAACCCTTTTTTTTAGTTTACCAAACACCTAAAACTCTCACAGCTTTTTTTCATGGGTGCTTTTTTTTTAAGCACCTCACTCCCAAACCACCTCTTAGTCTCACATATAGTATATAGACTTTACTTGTTTGCCAAAAAAAAATTATAGACTTTACTCATTGACACACGCCCAAATTAGCTCACTTCATCCCAATATCGGTCAATTGACGTGGGCTTTTTTGCATGCATAAAACATTGCCAGGAGGTCGAGATCAAACAGGAAGGAAGAGGATTGAAAGTTGAAACAGACGTTACAGCCACCAGCAAAAACCGACCAAGAAACATGCTCCACGTTGTGATAATAGATGCAGATCATATGGAACGCTAAATCTGGGGAACAAACCAAATTGACAAAAAAGTTATATGTTTAACCGCCAGGAGCCAGAGAGTCTATGACCTCAACAGACACCTCCAATTTCAATCTAACAAACACTTAATCAGAATTATCGTGATGATAACCACCTCCTAATTAACCTTTAATTATGAACGACAGGGATTTAGACTTTTTGGGTGATGCTTTTAGTGCCAGTAAAAATATAATTAAGTACAAGATTTCCCATTTCTCTACACAGAAGCATGTCATTGGGCTACCGACAGTTGAGGAATCGATTCACTTGGCGTCTTTTTTTTAAGCCAAGACGTTTGCGTTCCGAATTCCAGGCCAAAAGGAAAGGACGTCTTTCTCCCTTCGTTTTCTAGCATGTATTCGAAGTATTGACTGAACAAAGTTATGGATTCAAGTATTAATCATGCTAAAAAGCTTCCATATGGCACTATATGCTAGCATCTATATATATCACCCATTTTTTTGGTGAAACACAGCTGTGATCAAGTGGAAAGAACGAAGAGAAAAACCTGGTCATAAAGAAATCTCAAATCTTATAATTGAAATGGATAGGAATTTTGTCACTGATTTTTTAACCATTTGCACTCAAATTCAGTATTTTTCGATGTTTTTGCACTCATAGGACAGGTGCAAAAAAATGAAAGGTGAGTGTTACAATCACTAACAATTGAAATATGCGAACAAAAATGACACAAACTTTCTATGAAAGATGAAGGCGTGTGTGTGTGTGTGTGTATATATATATATTACAACATACAAAATTGGATCAAGTATTAAGCAAGCAAATTAACAAATTAATGGTTGAATTTCTAGAAACTAGATCTGTAAACTAAATCCCAAAATATAAACTATACCAATATCATTAACAAAAACACTACCTAAAATAATCATTATTTGCATACTAAATCCTTAACTGTCTTATTCTTCAAAACAAGAACCATGGTGCAATTCATATCAATAGTCTTCCTCTTCTTCATGATATTCATCAGATGCACTCTCCCACTAATCTTTGCATAGCTGCTAATGTTCAAATATCCAGAATTAATCTCACTCCCTAAACCACCAATTTGAACATCCTTAGGCAGCCTATTAGACCTCACTTCAATACTCAAGTTCACCTTCCGAGTCCCTCTCGCTTTCACGCTACCCTTTGCAAATTTAGCTTCGCCGACTTTGAACTCTCCGTACCACAAGCTCGCGCTGCTCCCCTCAAACTTGTACTGCCCAAAGTTTTTGTTCTTTATCGCCATCTCAGTAGATAACGTTGCGTTGAACGAAGCTGCTGGAGAAGATGTGGACTTCAGAGTTTTGATCTGGACAGAGCTGAGATTGAAACCGGGGGATTTGACACGAAGAACAACCAAAGCAAAGACAAGGATGACTATGCTTTGAAGGACGATGCCTGCGAAGACGTAGACGAAACATTTGTTGCTTCTTTCTCTGCGTATGGCTTTGAAAGTGGGGTTTTCTTCATCGCTCCGGCGGTGTAATCTGGATGGTGCTAATGGCCAGATTTGGCTCTCTTGATCTGCCATTGTTTTGGGGGCTTTAGAAAAATATTGTAGAAAAATGTAAAGGTGTGCTGGATTTGGTTAAGAGTTTTGGTTAATGACGGGGGTTTATATTGAGTGGGGAGTGAATGGGGTGGTCGTGTTTAAAATTTGAAGCTTAGGGGATAAGAATTGGTCAGTCATGGCCTACATCCGTGTCGGCTCTTGATTGTGGGATTTTATTTTATAGCTTTAGTCCTTGTATTTTAGGTGAGGTTGCACTCTAGCCCATTTGTCTCGAGTATAATTCTGTAGTTTACTAATTGTTCTAACAATATGGTACTTTTCTCGAGTATAACCCTAAGAGAGAAAATTTTACGGTGATGTTTCCTAACAATAAGGTACTTATGTCAACAAATTTAGCACGATCCGTGGCACATGTGATGTGTTTAATTTACACACATAAAGATGGAGGTAATGTATACGAAGATGTGAAGAACGAAGGATATATGAAGTTAGGGAGCGTGTGGAAAGAGATCGAATACGAATGTAAGAAAGAAAAACTACGAAAAGAAAACCTATTAAAAGGAGTCTTCAGTTTCATTTGTACACTTTCATGTGTAAACTATGAAGAACTCATTGTATCTTGCTGTAGAAGAAAGAAAGAGAGAAAGAGAAGTAGAGATTAGAGAGAGAATATTCAGTTTATTAATGATTCACAAAAACTATTCTTAAGGTGGTTACACATGCTGGTTATATACCAGACTAGGTAGCTTACTAACTAAGCCACACACTCAACTCACAATATATTGACATTTGTCATTTTATCTAACCATTGAATCATAAGCTCATAACAAACATCTAACAGCCTATATTATTCTTATCATCATGTACCTTTGGTCTATCGCTCTTTTCTCCAATCATAATTCACCTATATTTCTTATAAAAAAGTGAAAATTAAAAACTAAAAATATATAAGATGGCCATTAAACTCTCCAATTTCTTCTCCATGGCACACTACTGAGTGATTTGAAAATCATCGTTTTAAATCTTGGACTTAAGGATCTAATTGATACATAATACTCATACCTCTTAGTGGAACATAGCATTGTAGCTAGCCGGACCTCGAACTCTCTTAATTTATCCTCATATCGTTCATTTGCTAATTTAATCAAAGTAATTCACAAACTCAAGTCATTGTCTTTGAATTGGACAAATTAGAAAAGTACGTGTGTAAAATTTTAGGGCTGTATTAAAGAAATATATCCAAGCAGGAAGGACCAAAAAAAAGTAATTTAACCTTAGCTATATAATAAACAGCATTCACAGTAGCTCCAGAAACCTCTAGATATCTTTATAATTTTCATTTTTGTGAAATAATAGTTCACAAGTGGAATTTGTACGGCACCACGCAGTGCTTTCTTGACGAGGTCAGTAACGGTCAACGATAAATCTGGGAAGTCACCTGTTTTTTTTTTTTTTTTTTTTTTTTTTGTTTCATCACTTATTTGATCTTCCAGAGTACAAAGTTTTATTAAAAATGTCATAAATGATAGAGTTGCGACTTCTTCTGGTCCAAATAGGTCCTTAAATATTAAATCGTACTTGAACAAAAAATGACTAAGAGCATGCATGCCTCAGAAATTTGAATAAGCCGTACATACTTATGTAAGAATCCACAACTGCTCATATCCTTCAAATCGCACGTTGTTGTTTACCAAATCGTCTTTAGGAGAAATTATCGTTGTCACAGGCAATAAACAATTAATTTATTTTGAAAAAAATTATAAAGAACATATATAACTGAATCAAACAGAAATTGAAACTGATTATTTTCAGATTTTTAGAGGTTTCCTCAGAAAAGAAGAATGATTCAAGGGAGGATAAAAGGTGTGCTCATAACAATGCCACTTCTATGTGAACCAAAAAAAAATTGGCAAAAGACACTTTCCAGCTGAGAACCTTCCTGTCTCCCTTTCTTTCTAGTTAGCACTAAAAGCGGAAAAAAACAAATGTTGCATACATTAACTATTCAAGAGACTTGTTTAGAAAGTGTTTTTAAATTACTGAAAACGCTTTTAAAAGGCACTTGCAGTGCTTTTTTATGATTAATTTGCATTTTTATTAAGGATTGGTTTCAAAAATATTTTTTATAAAAGTAGTTTCAGTATTTAAAGGCACTTACCAAACGACCTCATAGTTTCGTCTGAAAAAAAAAAAAAAAAAAAAAACGTACTCATATTCATCTTTACAGGTAATATATTTATGGGGTTTGTAAACTTTCATTTTTGAATAAGAGGAATCAAAACTTGGTTTAAGATTGCAAATTGATTCTAGTCCTTTGACTAGATATCCCCATCAAATTTTATTTGAACCAATATAATCTCTTTCTACACAATTTATTCTTTACACCCATATTTTAGGCTTTTTAGCCAAAATGGTCTATGAGATTAACATAACTCCTCAATTTAGTTCTTGAGATTTGAAATTGATAGAAGTGGTTATTGAGTTTGTCTACCATCAAATCATTCTAATCCTTTAACATAATTTTTCACGAAAGAACTAAAATGATTGATAGATGGTGGACAAACTCAAAGAACTAAAATGATTGAGAAGTTATGCCACTGAAAGACCATTTTGGCTAAAAAGTTTTTTTTTTAATTATATTATCAATATCTCTTTAAACCCAAATTTACTATCTAAACTACCCTCACAAATTTAATTCGATAAGTAAATTTGAGCTCGTTTGAATATGCTTTTAAAATGACTAAAAGCGCTTTTGGTGAAAATATTTTTAGAACCAATTTTTAGTAAAGATGCAAGTAAATCCTGAAAAAAAAACACTTAAAGTGCTTCCTAGAATAAGCACATTACTGGTGCTTTTTGCAGAAAACACTTAAGTGCTTTTGGAACTCAAAAATATTTTCTCTAAAAGTGTTTTCAGTTATTTTAAAAGCACATCCAAATGAGCCTTTTATCTTTACACTTTTTTAGAAAATGAAAACCCATAACCATGCTTTGCAATTCATTCAAGGCGTAAAGAGAATAGTAAAATGAATGAGGTCTACAACAATATGTGAGTGATCATTCAAAAGAGCTAATCGGCTCGTTGGCTTATTTGGCTAATTCATCGCTAAATATTGCAGTCTCTCTCGAAAGACATTTTACCCCGTAAATGTTCTGCTTTTCATTCAATCTTAATACAAAGCAGGTTTGTGTAACTTGATACTCAATTTTCCTGTTAATGCTTGATTGGGCAACCTCTCTCTACTGTCCAATCTATTCTCACTGGTCTGGTTTTCGTAACATTGTGCATGCTTTCTGTGCTGATACGTGGTTCAGATGATTTGGACTTGTTTTCTGTGTAAATCTGTTGTAATACGTGTGCATGTTTACAAGTGTGCTGATAATCAGATAATTAGTATTTCTTAAGAGAAATTAACACAATGTTCACGAGATATATGTCATTTAGATTGAAATCCCTAACTAAATGGACACTACTTGAACAAACTAGTTCTTCATGAATTAAGAAATATGAGGATATCTTCCAATCTTAAACGAGATGGTGAATTTAAAATTTAACTTACTAACCAAGCAATCGCTAAAGTTAAAAATACTTAGTCTAGTGGGAGTGCTATTAATAGAAGCGTACCACTAGATTGAGAGTATTTGGCCCTGTGGAAGTACAACTAAAAACAATTTACTACTAATAGAGTTTGATTAAATTGTACTGAAGTAAAACTTCTCATTCATCTTGTTGTAGATTGAAAAGATGTAAGATCTCCACTCGACTTTAGATGTCAATTGATTGCTGCATGATACATGAGATTTGTCATTGTGTTTTTTGCGCACTCCAAGAGACTAAAAACTAGTTGTTCTTTGGAAGGGAATCACTCTAAAGAGAGGAGGATAATACTCTAACAGGAGGGGGATTGCGTTAGGCCACATAATGAGGCAACCACTTAGAAATGTATCATACTAAATACAAATATAATACGTCATCACCATCTATGTGAATCAAACTCATCATGACTTCTCACTGTGAAGATGAATACTATTTTTGACCCATTATTAATTATTTGGTTAACACATTTTTAATTTAGGTACTAATTGAAAACTCAAACTATTCAATTAGTTAAAATGAAAAAAATGTGTAACTTAAGGTCATCTCCAACCGAGCCGGCTAAAGGTCCATAGGCCAAAACATAGTCCGAAAAAGACCCAAAACTATTTCCAACAGTAGGCCAAAAATGAATCTAACTAAAAAGATTCGGGCTAAGGTCATCTCCAACTGAATGGTCTAGAGGGCCAGAGGGCCGAAAAAACCCCAAAAACTGTCTCCAACCGAGGGCTACGCTAGAGGGCTCGTGGGCCCCACGGAATCTGAAAGGGCCAAAGGGCTGGCCACAAGCAGCCAGCCAGCCAGCTCGGCCTGGGTCAGAGGGCTGAGAATTTCTATCGGTTATAACCGACAAAAATGCTTAAACAAAAATTTGAATCCAACGGCTAGCTAGCCGTTGTATTCAAATTTATTTATTTATTTTTTTTTTGGGCCTTTTTTTTTAATTCTTAAAAATTCAAATAAAAATTTCCCTATAAGTACCTAAACCATTCATTAAATTTAAGTTCTAATTTTTTTGGTTTTTTGGGCCAGTTACAGTTGTAGTTTTTAAATATAAGTTGTAGTTTTTAAATTTAAGTTGTTGTTGGATTTGAATTTAAGCTATTGTAGTATTTAAATTTAAATAATAAATTATGTTTGACCTTATGGCCCTTTGGCCCTCAGTTGAAAAATGTTTTTTGTGACAGGATTTAAACAAGCCATATGACCCTTTGACCTTAGTTGGAGAGGAAGGCAAATATGATCTTGCACTGTTTATTAAAATATTAATATTTTAAAGGACCAGATGACTAAAACGAGCTATTTGGCTAACCATTTGTTGTAGATGGCCTAACTGGCCGAAGGGCTGGCTACACTTAGCAAGCCCGGTAGCCCCAGGCCTAATATTATGGCGGGCCATACCCACGTGCAGCCCAGGCCCTCTCCTCTCCCTCTCTCGCAGCTGCTGCCTTCTCTCTTCATTCCCTCTTCCATTTCCGATTCCGCAAATTCACCTTCTCGGCGTCATCTTCTTCTATTCCTCTCAGCCTCTCACGGTCGCAGCACCACTCGCCCGCTCACACCAGGTACACCTCTTAAACCCGTCTCTCTGCTTTTTTATCTTTGCTGATTGATAACTTAATTTGGGTATTATTAATAGTTTAATTTAGAGTTTGATTGAAGGTTTAACTCAGGTTTATAATCAGGGTTTTACTTATGTTATGAATTAGGTGGGTTTTGGTATTTTCAGCTCCCCAAGTATTTCACTTTCGTTGTGGATTGTTGTTTTTGGAATTAATTAGCTTTGGGTTTTTCATTTTTCTCATATTCCCGCCTGATTTGGCTTCCATATAAAAACCAACAAATCACCTATAACAAGTCGCTTCCATTTGTATTAACTTCAGGTGATTTGTTGGTTTTGTTTGTACATAGTTTCTATCGACAGTCTTCTTACCCATATGAATACGATCATCATTCTGTTCTTCTTGTAGGAGGGAGAGAGAATTTCAAGTGGTTATCAAATTTCCTGCAAGTAATTTCGAGTTTTCCTCTACTTGGTTGAGTTTATTGTTGCTCGTGTAATAGTTAGCACCTGTCTTTTCTTGTAATTTCTCGTTAAGCATAGGATGACCGCCGAGTATTTCACAAAATGTCTCAAAGAAATATGACATTTTGGGTTATTTGCTACTTTACTTGTAAATCCAAGTTTTGCTATGAAAATTGTATTTATCAGGAAATTCGATAAAACCGCTTGCTGACGATCTCTATGATTATCACAACAAAAATGTTTGATCATGCTTTCTTTTTACTCCGAGACAACGGTGAATAAGGGTTCTATTTGCTTGTTTCTTTTTAAGACTTTTCAAAATCTTATACATTTAACGATAAGTGACATTCAAAATATGTCTGAAATTTTTATTTTAATATAGTAGTTTAATTCAATTAATCAATAAAATTAAATAGCAAACTTAAAATAATAAATTATTGAGGGAGTTAAAAAATAGTCCATTCGGTTTGAGATTGTATATAAATATGATTTGACACTCTTCATTAATTTCTTACAAGACTATAACCTGGACGAGAGCTAAACATAGCTCTTTCAGTTGAAGATGACCTAAAATCCCCCAATGACATTCTAAACTCTTCAATCTAAAATGATCAACCCCAAACCTTGACGGACCTTCAAAAACTCTTAAACTTAAGTCAACTTCGACTCTATCTAACCTTATAAAGTTTTAGAAGTAATAAGCGTGGGACAAAATGGTAGTTTGCCATATCTTTTATTTAGTAATAGACCACCTTGCAATATAGTTTGTGGCCTATCCTAAATTATGTAATTGAACTTATTTTCCTTAAACATGATACATTTTCTTAAATCCTATGTCCAACTTGGTATTTAATCTAAATTTACCTTACTTTTTGGTCTGAATATAAGGTTCTTTTTAATTCTTATGCGACAACTAACCAAAACATGCACAGACGCATGAATGCATTAGGTATGTTCTACATTGTATTTATCGCGTGAAGTAGGTCTGCTTCACGCCTCTTCATTATATTTATATGCAATATTAAACACACATGTTGCCCTTCCTATTCCTAACCCACCTAATCATGCACAACTATAGAATAATTAACTATATACCATCCAATCAAACCTTCGGAATAAAGCTATATTGAGGATCGAATAAAAAATTAAATATGCTTTGGCCTTTAATTATTTTACTATATTTTAGTTTATTTTTCATGAACGAAAGATAATACAGATACTTGGCTTCTCCTATTCTCCACTTTATAAGCAAACTATTAAAATAGGAAACTCATTATTTCCAGCAGCCCACATGTTTCACATAAACTAATAAAATACCGTACATTGGCTGGGTGTGAATCGTTCAGGATCCCACAAATTTAAGGCATCTCATCTTCTTGCTTCTTAGGTTTGAAAATTTTCATAGTAGAGTAGAATTTTATTGCCAAACAATTTAATATGTTATATTGTTGACTAACAAATGAATTATTGACCTTCATGTCAAATTAAAATCCGACAATATAATAGGAGCGGTGCTATTCACACTTCTTTTTGCCTTTCACATATTTCTATCAATTTCAACTGTCGAAGCATATAAATTGAAGACAGATCAAAGGTGAAAAAGAGTGTGGATCATGCCACCCTATTATATGCTAGATATTTTGATAAGAAAAGCATAACTATATTATCCATACAAGGGCATATATGACATGGGAAGCATTTTGAGTTGGTCAAAACAGAGACCACATGCATAATATGTACTCAACAGCTACATGAGCACAACTTATGCCTTGTCCTCTCCTGAGATATATTTGACAAGTTCATTTTATGTGTTTAATTATAGTCAACTAAAGTTGGCCTGTAATGCAAACATCGGTTTGAGGAAATTAGGGGGTCACTATCATCTCTCGAATAAATATTTTGACAACTTCATCAACCTTTTTTTATAGTCTTATTCACAGACTGCCAGTTGGAGTATCTGTTGATTTTTACACACTATTAGATATTTGAATCTTATATCATCATGGCATCACTTTCACATAAAAAAGGGTGAAAAAAAGAGCGAGCAGTTCAACTTTGAAATAAAAACAGTACCAACACAAATAAAATAAATTTCCAGAAAATATTTAACATGAATACAGAGAAATAATCTTGGTTATTTTCATTTGCATTTTAAACTTTTGAGCGTCTTCGATGACAGATCAAATGCCATGGTGCAGTCCATGGTGGAAGACTTCTTCTTCTTCATGATAAGCATCAATTCAACCTTTCCAGTCAACTTAGCCGCGCTGTTGAGTGTCAATACCCCACTGTTCAATTCACTGCCAAGATTGGTACCGCTCAATGCACTTGAACTCAAGCTCACCTCAACGTCAATTTTTTTGGTTGAAAGCATTCCAGCCTTGCTCTTTGGAATAGAAACTTGCCCGACAGTCGCACCTTGGTACAAAAACGTGACAATGGCAGCATCGTACTTGTATGGGCCAAAATTTGTATTCTTGACTTTGATTTGGGTTGTGAATTTAGTGTCGAATGAAGGTGTTGCAGGCGCAGAGTTGAAGTTTTGGACGTTGATGTTGCCTAGCCTGACCTTTGGGGTCTTAACTTTCATGACGGTGAGACTCAGCGCAGTTATGACCAAGATCTGAAACACAATGAAAATACCAATATAAATGGCCAACTTGGTTCTCTTCTTGCGTTTCAGCTCATCGGCTGATTGCAAAGACTCTGCATCACTTCTTCTGTAACCATTTGCTGGTGCCAAGGGATAGGCCTGATTGGTTTTCTCAGCCATGTTAATATCCTATTCTTTTCTGATATGAAAGTGGGAAGAAAGGTTTTCTGATTTTTTGTAGGTTTGTTTTCTTGGATGAAACTGAAAAATGGGGAAAGTTGTTTGTGGAAATGGAGGAAGAGTTGCGTGTTATATATAGTTTTTGAGTATGGACCTATTTTTATTAAGTTATATGGTGGAGTGAATTTCCAAGAACGTGTAGTATGGGAAAGGAATTTAAAATTTTTAGTATTTTATTGCGGACACCGAACGCTTACGTCCAAAGACAAAGGTGGTAATTCTTGACTTCTAGATGATCGATGACTTTAGGTGAGGACCTTTTAGGGTTTTGCTTTCAGAACAAATTAAATATCAAGAGAATCTTCATTTTACCAAAAAAATATCAACAGAAGCTTCGATTATATCCGTTGGCATGACTAAATCCCCGTATCACAGGTGAGAACATGGTTTGTGTGATATACTTTAGTGTTGGCAAATTTTTCTGTTTCAAAATTTAATACACTATTGTCCCCAAGAGAAATTCTTTGGAGAGTTTTAGAAAGAAATGAATCCGAGCAATAAATAATATGTATGATAGAGCAAGGGTTGAAGAAGAACTCATGAAAGACTAGGGCCGTTCCTGAGAAAGGCCTAGGGCAGCGCCAAAAAATGTGGTCCACCTTCATATAAGAAAAATTATTTGTTTTCACACACAAGACTTCGATAAAATTATACTCAGAAAAACACTTCAAACTCAATAATTTAGAAATAAGGAAAAACTAATTTATTTTATATTAAGAGAAGGGAACCAAAAAACCCTAGGCTTAAAAGTAGATAGATGATGGGTTTTGTTTCCTTTCTATTTAAACTTTTAGATAAATGCTAAGGAGACTCTCAAAAGTGGGACTTTCCATGTACTCTCCGTTACCTTATGTTTTTGGTGCAATTTTCGTGCCAACATTATAAAATATTGCGCAAAAAACATGAGATGACGGAGAGTTCATGAAAAGTCCCACTTTGAAAGAGTCTCCTTAGCATTTCTCAAACCTTTAAGGTTTTTCTTTTTTATATAAACCCTCAGGTGTTTTTTTTTCTTATTTACTAATCTTGTCAATATGGAACTAAAAAAAAAAAAAAAATCATATTTTCGAGTCATTTATTTATATGTAAAAACAATTAATGAACACTAAATTAAACCTAGTATTGGTAAGGCATACGTACATACATTAATTTCTTGAAGGCTAATAATGGTAGAGATACCAAATTTTGTAAACCATTTGATGTGATTGTTAATGATTGGATTTTTGTTTAAGGACCACTAGGTAGTAATTAAAAAGAAATTAACAACCAAATAGAAAGTGTAAAAATTGGAAAGAATAAAAATGCACATAACATTTCAAACGCAGGAGCACTCGTTAATTTTAAACAATAGAAATCACTGGTTCTTATTAAACTTCTTGATCATTTAAAGAAATTTTATAAATTTATTCTCTATAAAAAGAAATTCATAAAAATTGAAAAGTAGAAAAATGCACATAGCATTTCAAAACCAGAACATCCTTATTAATTTTAAACATCATAAACAATCATTTCTAGTTAAACTTCTTGATTATTAACCAAAATCTATAATTTATATTCTTATGAAATGATATTCGTAAAAATTGGAAAGTAAATAAACACACACAGAGTTTTGAACCCAGGACCTCCATCTTAATTTTAAACAACAAAACCACTAATTATGGTTAAACTTCTTGGTCATTTAACCAAATTTTCTAAATTTATACTTTTATGAAAACATATATGAACATACCACTCTAATAATTTTGGTGTCCCAATTTTTTTGGGCCTCGGACGGTCGGCCTTGTGAAGGGCAAACTGAAGCTTTCCCAAAACCGTAGGGTTACACCAAGGCTCAACTTTAAGTCATTACCTTTTTTACATTGGTAATGGATGAGATAACGAGACATGTTCAAGATGATATTCCTTGATGGATGAAACACAATAATAGGAGTAAGTGCGAAGCTTAACCTTTGGCAAGTAGTCTTGGAATCTAAATGTATAACCTAAGTATGTCAAGATAGAGTATATGGAGTGAATGCTTTCATTATATATATATATATATATATATATATATATATATTGGATCTATCTTGCAAAATAATAGAGAATTAGATGGAAATTACAACCATAAAATACAAGCTGGATGGATGAAGTGGAAGAGTGCACTGAGTGTGTTGTTTGACCGTCGTATGCCACTAAAGCTCAAATAATTTTTTCATAAAATTGCAAGAAGACCATCAATGTTTTGTGGTACCGAATGTTAGGCGGCCAAGTATCAACACATACAAAAAGATGAGTGTAGCCGAGAGGAGAATGCTTCGTTAGATGTGTGGGCACAGGAGAAATATGATTAAGAGAGAGGATATCTAAGGTAAAGTAGGGCTGGCTGAAATTGGAGCTAAGATTTGAGAAAATCGGTTAAGATGGCTTGGACATGTGAAATAAATACCTATAGATTCTCCAGGTAGAAAAGTTGATTGTGAGAAAGAGGCTTAGAGCAAAAAGGTTAGAGAAAGACCGTGAAACACTTATGGGAGTGTAGTCAAATTAAGATTTGATAGAACTTGATAGTATTTTAATTTACTTTAAAATCCGGGTGTAGTCAAATAGATTTTAAAAGATTTTGAAATCATGGTGTAGTCAAATTAGGATTTTAATGAATACATCCAAATCCTTGGGTAGTCGATTAGGATTTTAAAAAGTCCACAAGAGTCTAGGTGTAGTGAAATTATCAAGGATTTGCTAGGATTTTAAAGGTTGAAGGATTTTGATGGATTTGAGAGTAGAGATATAAATAACAAATACTATAAACAATCCAACCTTCACCACTAGGATTTCATTTCAAGAACAAAGAATTCTATCTGTAAAAGAGGAATAGTCTTCCCCATTTTTGGCCCCAGCTCACCATCTACACATACCAGGTTTTCAAATGGGTTTGATTTTCGTGCTTTGCCTTTATTGGGTGAACAATCCCATTTCCTTGCATGTAAGCTTGAGAGTAAAGCTTGTGAGTGTTTGCTGTTGTTCCAATCCAATACAAACCATGGATGGCATTGAATAAGGATGGACAAGTGAGTCACTCTTTGATTACTAACTATGTAAGGTGTGGTGAGTGGGTTTTTGCACGGAAAGTGTTTGATGAAATTATTGAGAAGGACTTGGTTTTGTAGAATTCCATGATTTATAGGTATTGCAAGATGGAGTGTGCTGGAGTTACGGTGGACTTGTTTTGGGAAATGAGGGGTGATGGATTTGAGCTTGATGAAACAACTTTGGCGACAGTTCTTGGGATTGCAGGGACATGGGGAATTGAGTTTCGATGAGTGGGTGGAGTGTTTTGTAATTGAGAAGATATTGGAGATGAATTCATATGTGGACTCTACATTGATTGGCATGATAGAAGTCCTAAGAAATCCATGAAAAAAAATCCATACAAATTCATAGAAATCTATAATTGAAATCCATATAAATCTATCAAAATCCATATAAAATTGTAGAGTCTATTAAAATCCTTTAAACTGTGTCACTTAGTCTATTAAAATTCTTTGAAATCTAAGTTGACTACACCTCCCTTAGAAAGAGACTTTAAGAAAAGAGAGTATTTTGTGCTAAATGAAGACTTGGCGCAAAACCGAGCATAGTAGCGTTCTAGAATACATAAAACCGACCTCATTTCGTGAGATAAGACTTTATTATTGTTGTTGTTGTTGTCCCTAAATACAAACAAGAAATATTGGGTACTTGAAGAATGAATGTTGTTGAAGACTTGACTATGTGAACATGGCCAAGGGTTTAAGGTAAGGGTGGGCACGGGCCGGACCGGGCCCAAATTTAAAGGAATCGGACCTTACCCGTTGTAAATAGTAACAGGATCGGCCAAGTCGGGTAATAGGTTTTGAGAATTTGGAACCGGACCTAACCCTGCTCGTTTGAAATGTGCTGAAACAGGCTGGGTCCACGGGTCCAATATCTTTTTTTTTGTTGGTCAGCCATAGAAAGGACAACCTCATTAAGTCTGCAATTCGTGCTTGAGCCTAACCACACCAACATCTTCGGTTGAAGCCGTAGACCCTGACGTACAAATCGAATTAGAGAGACGTTGTCTTCCTCATAGATCCAAGACCTTCACCCTCGCTATTACATATTACACCAGTTGATGAATCAAAACAAAATCTTACATACCTATAAGCAAATTTTCCCAAAAGCATTTATTATGTAATCACAGCCCCAAAAACCCTAAATTCCCAAATAAGAAACCCATATAATTCCTAAAATAGAAACCACATAATTCCTAAATCAATCGAAAAGCTTATGCAAAAATCCTAAATTCTTAAATCAGAAACCTTAATTCATAAATTACCTAGGGATTTGCAGGATGATGGTGGTGTTCTCGACGACGAGGATGATGTGGTGGTGGTCAGAACTTATGATTGGGAGGATCAGTGGAGAGTCAGGAGAGGATGCCAAGACGATGATGGTGGTTGGCTGCTGTGATGTCGACATAGTCGAGGTCGACTCAGTCACTACAGGTGGGAGGGAGAACAAGAAAGTGTGGATAGTCGATGGACGGATATGAGAGCCTAGGCTCAAGATTGAGGTCTGAGATGATAGAGGAAAGGAGATTCGATAAGGAGAGATCGAGGGAGGAGAGAGTCATTGCCTTCTACGAGTGCTCCAGTTGGGAATTCGATGGAGAAAGAGTCTGTCGGCCTTGAGGAGAGCAGATGCGGTGTCGGAGTCGGGATAGAGACCTCGAGGTCGAGGCTCGAATTCTAGAGAGGGGAGAGTTGAGTGAATTGGGTCTGAGAACATTGGGAGTCTTGGGATAAGACAACTCAGACAAGAATAAGAGAGAGAGAGAGAGAGAGAGAGAGAGAGAGAGAGAGAGAGAGAGAGAGAGGGTGATAGATGGTAGAGATTTAATCAAGGTAGGAAATCAACGGTCCGGGGCGGGGGCCTGTTTTCTCCAATTTCTAGAACCACCCCGCCCCGTAATTTACTTGGACCCGTCCCACCCCATTTTGTATTTATAATTTCTGGACCCGTCTTATACCCGGCCGGACCCGCGGGTCCAGAACCCGTTTGCCCACCCCTAGTTTAAAGAGCTTAAAAAATTACCAATCAAGCTAATATGTTTCTCAAAAATTAAGGATAAAATCTGTATGGTGCAAATTTAACACTGGATAGAGTAAGTATATACCTGGTTTCAACTGCATCAACATCCGATTGAAAGGTGCTTTGACTTGTGGCTTTATTTATAGGTCCTTTACTAAAGAAACAAATACATTTATAAAATTTCACACATTGTCAGATATTTTGTGTATTTTCTCTCAATGCTAAGTTATTTTGTTGGATACTATTTCTTGTTAGTTGCTACTTATTTCGTTGGATACTATTTCCTATATTTAATTTGATAATTAAGTGAGTAAAAAATGAATTTCATTATAAAGCCGTATGCAATGCATAAAAGATGCCTGTTTTATTATTCTTTATGTCTTCACCTTGTTAGTTGCTACTTTGGCCATGACATAAGGAGAGATTTATTTTTTATTTATATTTTTTTTTACGTATTCGGATTACAATCACGTGGTGCAATTTCATTAAAATTATAAATATATATATATATTTATTTATATTTTAAAATTGGAACATATCAATCATGTTGCGCGTCCACCTAATAACTTGTAACACTTAAGTTGGTATAACACTCGACAAGCATTTTATTTATTTACTATTATCAAGCGATACGTATATTAATGGAAATTAATAGGAATATAAATACACGAACAACCTCAACAAGAATAATAAAAAGCCAAACTGGCTCGAAACAAGATACAAATGCATAAGTGGCAAGTATTTCTGAAATAGATAAATATTACTCCGACAGAATTAATGCCAATTGTGAATTTTCTTTCTAGTGCCTCGTTATGCACACAATGTCATATTTTCTCGCTCACTTAGATCATCTCTAATCGAGCAAGCCATAAGGACATAGGCTAAATGATAACCTTTTTTGACACAAAACTCATCTCTAATGGAGGTCTGGGCCAAAAAATCTTGGGACCCACCGGACGAAAATCCAGCCATAAGGCCAGCGGGCTGGCTATCTTTAGCATGTCAGTCAACCCTTTTAGTTGGGCCCAGCTATATTTTTTATTTTTTTTAAGATGAAATTAAAATTTCTAATTTTTTTCCTATAGATACCTAAGACATTTCGACACAATTTCTCACATTATTTTCACTCTTTTATACTATTTTACCTCATATTATTTCAATTCTTCACATTCTATTCACCTCAAACACTATTTTCAAACGCACCCGTCTCTTACCTCTTCCAATAATCTTTCTTTTAATTTTTTTCAATAATTTTCGAATGGCCACATCTTTAGGTGGCACTCAAAATATGTCCCGAAATCTTATTTTAATATGGTAGTTTAATTCAATTAACCAATAAAATTAAAGAACAAACTTAATTAAAACAATAAATTATTGAGGGGACTAAAAAATAGCATCATTTGATTGGAGATGGTATATAAATATGGTCTAATACTGTTCATTAAAAAATAATTTCTTGTGTGACTATCTAGACAGGTGCTAAACATAACCCTTTTGGTTGAAGATGGCCTTAGCACTCATTATTTTTTACTTTGTTACAGTGATTCAGTAATAAATTTATTTAAAAAAATATATCTGCAATAGCATTACTTAATACTTAGTAAAAAATTTGTAATTCATTATATTTTTTTCTCTGTTAGAGAACTTGCCCATTAATGATCCAAATTTCGTTAGACACCTGGTACAAGAGAACTTGTCCGTCTGCAACATTTAGCTTGGCTTCTATTCTTGCGAGAGTTTCAAGGTATGGCTTGAGGAGTGTCCCAAGTTATACTGTGTGATGTTTTATTTTCAACATTATCGATACCTAAATTCAATTTCCATCACTTTCATGCATGCAATACATCGAAAAAATCATATTCAAAGCTGACAAAACTTGACCACTTCACTTTGACTTTTGAAGCAACACATCGAAAAAATCATATTCAAAGCTGAAAAATCAGACTCCAGTGCCAACAACTACAAGAAAGAAATTCCAAGTCCCAATTGGTTGCCCAATGTTAAAGACTCAAATTCTAAGTTCAAACACTCCCCTTTGACACTAACTGTAGCTATGCCATTTTACTTTCTTTTTATTTATTTTATATTTTTTAGTGTTATTTGTGATATAACGTTCACACTACAAATACATATATACTGTATTTGTTTTTATCGAGTAATTGTTTTACTAGGTTTGAACTTAGAACTTCCTTAGTAATGCGGGCACAACTCAAAAAAATTCAAAACATCAAGAAAGTAATGACAAATTTTGTGAATATTATGTTAATAAAAACAAAAACAAATCTGAAAACATAAAACATAAAATTGGCTCAAGGTATAGCCATATTCTATCAGTTACAGTCCAAATTTTGGACAGACTTTGCTGCCAAATTAAACACCATAGAGCAGCTCATTTCAGCAGACTTGTTTTTCTTCATGATCATCATCAACTTAACCTTTCCACTCAACTTGGCTTGACTGCTCAACATCAGCAGCCCATTGCTCAACTCACTTCCAAGAGCGGAGTTGCTCGGCAATGCTGCAGAATTCACGCTCACCACAACATCAATTTTTTTTGTGGATCGCATTCGGACTTTGCTATTCGGAATAGCAACTTGCCCAACAGGCACACCTTGGTACATAAACGTGGCCATGCCGGCATCAAACTTAAAGGTACCCCAGTTTAAGTTCCTGACTCTGATTTGGGTTACGAAGCTCATGTCGAATGAAGGTGCTGCTGGGACGGAGTTGAGACTGAGGACATATATGTTGCCCAACCTGATTTTCGGAGACTTAACTTTCATCACAGTCATCCCAAAAACACTCATGACTACGATTTGAAAGACGATGAAAATGCCAATGTATTTGTACATCTTAATTCTCTTCTGGCGTTTGAGCTCCTCCGATTGCGTTGTGGCTGAAGCTTCATGATCACCTCCGGAGTGCCCAGTTGCTGGTTCCAACTGGTGGTACTTCTCAGCTACTACTTTCTCAGCCATTTTTATTTTCTTTTACTTGGAAAATAAGAAATCAACAATATTCTTCCTTTTCTTTTAAGGGGTTTCGCTTCAGAAATGGATTGGGAAGTAGAGAATTGTGTTTGTGGAATGGTGGTAAAATGTTATGCATATTTATAGACTTGTATTCATAATGTGTGCGTAGACGTTTTGTCTATCAGTCTATGGGTGTGAGTTTGCTTCCTGGAAAATGTTACACAACATGTAAAGGGGATATTGTTTTTTAATGTTTAATTCAGACACGCTAAATCCGCCTATTGTAAAATATGATGACTTCTAGATGGTGGCGTGTGCAGTGCATTTGAAAGGATTTGGATCCCATCTGGATTCAAATTGTGGAGATCGTAGGGATCCTCATATTTTAGTCATTCATCATGTATCGTACGGTGAGAAATTATTTGACCTTTTTAATTCAAAATTAAACACAAATAGTGTGGATGCAAATTTCAACCGACTTCTCATTGGACGAAAATGTACTTGCAAAATAATAACACCTAAGATTTAAGGTCAAAAGTCTCACTCGCCCATGATGAATGAGGGAGGAGCTTTGGTCGAAGAATCTCTGATGCTAAAGTTAGAATTACGAACAGAATGTGTTTAGGAGTTTATGGGCAGTAAATGGCTTAACTTTTTAGTGGGAGAACATGGCTATTTATAGGGGAGTGGCCGGCCTTATTTGGAGAATAGGGACCGGCCATATATGGTGGAATTATGAGTATAATTGCAAGATATTATGTGAAATAATATCTTGCAATTAACTTGACAATTAATCCTAAATTAAATAGGAAAATTGGGAGTTACCTTTTGAGTGAGGATTTGATGAGGAGTGATGAGAGAGATTTGAATAAATACCATTTTGATCACCTTTGACCCTTCCTTAATTGAGCCGTTATTGTCCGTTACATGCGCGTGGGAATCTCAGTGTGCATCGAGGGTAATTTTGTCCTTTTAACCCAAAAGTCCACATGTCATCCTCCTAATTTTCTTGATTATTTTTTGCTCCATAAATGCTCACAACTTCTAGGTTGCTCGCAGGAAAGGGCAACAAGTGTAGAGATCTTCCCTTGCTTTAGGAAACATAAAATTGTTTCCTATTTTGATGTAGATTCCCGCATTAATTGGAAATTATATCCTTCTAGGAAAGGGAAATAAATCACTTCAAAAGTCTATTTAAGTCTACCTTAAGTAGATGATTAAATCAACTTCAGAGAGCAATTTATTCTACCCTACAAGAGAAAGAAAGCTAGAGGATATATGTTCCCCCTCCCCTAGCAATGTTCTACACTTACTCGTGTAAATGACCATCTTTCGTTACTTTCTTCATCTTCATGCCGCACCAAAGTAAGAAAAAATTTAATTTTTCCTTGTCTTTGTAAATTTTTTAGCCTAGGGGCTTGAAATTTGGCTCGCCAGAGGTCGAGGATGTGTAAAAAAGTTGTTGGGAAGGGCCACGACATTGTTGTCTTGGGTGGCTTAGTGCGGCGGTGGCTCAGCGCGAGCCGATGTCTGGGTGCAACAACGTGGGCCACAGAGGCAAGCTAGGGCTAGGCTCAAGTCAAGAACTTCTTGGCTTGGGTCGAGGTCATGAGGCGTTGGGGCGCTGGGCTTAGGCCCGTATTGAAGAGGTGAGAAAGAAAGAGGTGCAGGGGCGTTAGCCCTCTCCTTTTGGATTGGGTTGCAAGGTCTTTGGGCTGAGATAATGACAGCGTTTGGCATGTTGGGCCTTCTGATGCACTGGGTCGCTTGGTGTGTTGGGC